GCCATGCGGTGAGTTGGCTATGGCGAGTTGTCCTAGACCCATTTCTAGAAGCTTGGCACTCTGACAAATAGCCATCAAGACATATAGACGTAAATAATATCTATAGATTATACAAAACAGACAATTAGCAAGCCAAAAGGGAGACAAAAAGACCTAAGCATCTCTCCAGCAGAAATCACTGTTAGCCTAACAATGCTCATTTAATATTCAGCAGATTAAACAAATGTATAATGTATTAAAAATTGTAACAGATGGCTAGAGATTTCTGGTGAGGATGTCTAGGGCCTTCTGAGGTAGGAAGGAAGATGGCAATATGAATGACTCTCCTTTAGCAACAACCGGTGTCCAGCTGATTTTGAGGTTTTGTTGGCACCCTTGCAGTCTGAAGAACTGTCCAGAATTAAGGAGAGACCTGGAAATTAATCCCTTTTGTTCTCTGCATGGACATTACTTGGGAACTTTTGTGGTTGCTTGGTGAATGATTGTCTGAGAAGTGGAGCTTCCCTGGTGTTCAATGCTCTGGCATAGCTTGAAGAACAGACTCTAGAATGAACTCCCCCCCCTCCCATTTCTAAAGTATCATAACAAGTTTGCTTTTTATTCAGTATGAAGTTCAGATGTTATAATTTAGGGGCAAACCAGACATGGTGAATATTTAATGCTTTATGAAAAATAATCCTTAATGGAGTATGTTGAAGGGTACTTAAGAGAATTTCCATAAAACAATCATTAAGACATTATTTTAGCAGCTAAATATAGCAATATGTTATTAAAATCTGAATTTGCTGAATTAAACATTTCAGTGTAAAAATATTTTCAATTATATTAACTTTTTAAAATAATCCTATTGCCATAAAAGAAATTGCTCATATTTTTAGCTTTATTTTTTAATACTATCAAAATTTGTAACTTAATATCAGATATTCTTTAATTACAGTATTTGTCTCCCTGCTATTTTTGTTTTGTTTTGTTTTGTGTGTGTGTGTGTGCATGCGCGAGCATGCATGGATGTGCGTGTTCAAGCAGTCTTGACTTCCAGCAACTGTCTGGACAAGTCCATATTGTTTTCTTACCATTTTCAAAAGTGTTTGAAATCATCCAGCTGGTCTAATGCAGGATTAAAATTCATAGTCTTCCAGTTTCTAGCTTGACGCCTTTAACTATTACACCAAAGTAGCTCTTCTCCTGTCCAGCCACTAGTTTGTAAATTGTAAAGCTCAGATTCAATCTAAAAAAATAACATGGGACTAGCTTTAGTATAGAATTTTATATTTTCTTGGTTGGTTTTTATTGCTTGTCTTTTTTTCCTGGGTTTAGTTTAAAACTAGGCAATGTATTTACATAAACTAAGTCACTACTACAATGTATTACTCCTACAATATCACTAAACGAAAGCAGAAAGACAGATAGATACAAAATTTAATTTTTCAAGTAATGCTATGTACACTTTATTGCCTGTATATCCACAATGGTAAGCAGTGAACTATAAATACACAATGTAATTGAACAGTAGAAACAAGAATGTTACACATAAGAGAATGAGGAAGAAAAAGGCTATTTTCCTGATTTGCAGCTGCTAAAAAAGCCAGTGATGAATAATGTAATTTTCCCCTTACATTTATTTCTAAAGTATTTTCCCAACAGACAGTTTCTGCAACAGCAAATTGTATTTTCAGTAACCACATATTAACTTTTCCAGTCAGAATAATTTCTGATAAAAATCAAAGTAACTTATTAGATAACTGCAAGTATTCTATTTATTACAAAGTAATAAGCAAATTGTGATATTAGTTCTTTTAAAAACAATATTTGGCTGCATGTTAAGGTATTAGACTCTGAACATATACTGTAGTAGCAAAGGAACAAAAAATAAAATAAAAATAATTATTTTATAGACAATGTTTTTCACAAGACATTATTGATAGCAGCTTAGTCAAAAGTATTCACCCTGAAAGAGGTAGAGAGAATCTTAATCTAGCAGAAAAACCCATCATCCTTGGCACTGCTATAATCTCTCCTGCAAATACACAATCCCTAAAAGAAGATAATTCAACAAAGAATCATTTCAGGTATTGTGAGATGGGTACACATCTTATTCTCACCCCCCCAGATAAGAATCTTGGTACTTTTGTCTGAGATACAGAAGTAAATTTATTTTCATTCTCTCTTTGACTATTCATTTCATAAATATAAGGATGCATTATTCACAATAAACTTTTTAAAGGTTACAGAAACAACCTGAAAACATTTCCATATCTTAGTCCAGATGGCTGCAATAACACCAGTTCAAGATAACCTCAAGATAACCATGCAATAAATTTAGGGCACTTTCCAATTCAAATTTAACTCCTAAACCAGTGGTTTTAAGAGTTTTCCCCATTCCATGCCTTTAAAATAATCAGTGCACAAATCTTCAATCTTGCAACGTATCATTGTGGAACAGTTTCCTGCAGTGATGTCATATATCCTTATGTGAGTGAGATTGACAGAAGTACTGGTTTCAATAATTAATTTGAGAGGAAGTATTCTACTAACAAATGATAAAATAGACATACCAAGCATGCTTATACAAAGCATTCTATTCTGAACCATCTTGCTTGAAGATGATACAGGTGGTTCATATCCATTAAGTGATTTTGCTAATCCTGATCTAGGAAAGCAGGATGCTATACAACCCAATTTTGCAATACTATATTCTGTATAGCTCCTTCATGGATTAATTACTGCCTTGTCATGACGAAGGGGCTTGCGTAACTCAATGAAGCTATGAGCTATGCCGTGCAGGGCCACCCAAGACGGACAGGTCATAGCAGAGAGTTCTGACAAAATGTGATCCACTGGAGAAGGAAATGGCAACCCACTCCAGTATCTTTGCCATGAAAACCCCATGGACAGTACCAAAAGGCAAAAAGATATGACGCTGGAAGATGAGCCCCTCAGGTCGGAAGGTGTCCAATATGTTACTGGGGAAGAGCAGAGGGCTAGTACTAGTAATGCCAGAAAGAGTGAAGTGACTGGGCCAAAACCGAAAGGACGCTCAGCTGTGGATGCATCTGGTGGTGAAAGGAAAGTCTGATGCTGTAAAGATCTTTTCTCCATAGGAACCTGGAATGTAAGATCCAGAGAATCAAGGCAAGCTAGACGTGGTCAAACAAGAGATGACAAGACTGAACATCGACATCTTAGGAATCAGCGAACTAAAATGGACAGGAATGGGTGAATTTAATTCAGATGACCATCAGGTATACTACTGCGGGCAAGAATCCCTCAGAAGAAATGGAGTAGCCTTCATAGTCAATAAAAGAGTAGGAAAAGCAATACTGGGATACAATCCTCCAAAATGACAGAATGATCTCAGTTCAAATCCAAGGCAAACCATTCAATATCACAATAGTCCACGTTTATTCCCCAACCACTGGTGCTGAAGATGATGAAATTGACTGGTTCTATGAAGCTCTACAGCACCTTATAGAATTAACACCAAAAAATGATATCCTTATCATCATGGGGGATTGGAATGCTAAAGTAGGAAGCCAAAAGATAACCGGAATAACAGGCAAGTTTGGCCTTGGAGTACAAAATGAAGCAGGGCTGATAGAATTTTGTCAAGAGAATACGATGGTCATAGCAAACACTCTTTTCCAACAACCCAAGAGATGGCTCTACACATGGACATCACCAGACGGTCAACAAAGAAATCAGATTGACTATGTGCTCTGTAGCCAAAGATGGAGAAGCTCTATACATTCAGTAAAAACAAGACCAGGAGCTGACTGTGGCTCAGATCATGAGCTTCTCGTTGCAAAATTTAGGCTTAAATTGAAGAAAGTAGGGGGAAACACTAGGCCACTCGGGTATGAACTAAATCATATCCCTGATGAATATACAGTAGAGGTGACAAATAGATTTAAGGAATTAGATCTGATAGACAGAGTGCCTGAAGAACTATGGATGGAGGTTTGCAACATTGTACAAGAGGTAGAAACTAAAACCATCCCAAAGAAAAAGAAATGCAAGAAAGTAAAATGGCTGTCTGAGGAAGCTTTGCAAATAGCTGAGGAAAGAAGGGAAGCAAAAGGCAAGGGAGAAAGAGAAAGATACACCCAATTGAATGCAGAATTCCAGAGAATAGCTAGAAGAGATAAGAATGCCTTCTTAAATGAACAGTGCAAAGAAATAGAAGAAAACAATAGAATAGGGAGAACCAGAGATCAAGAAAATTGGAGATATGAAGGGAACGTTTCATGCAAAGATGGGCATGATAAAGGACCAAAATGGCAGGGACCTAAGAGGCAGAAGAGATTAAGAAGAGGTGGCAAAAGTACACAGAAGAACTATACAAGAGCTTAACGTCCCAGATAACCACGATGGAGTGGTCACCGACCTCGAGCAGACATTCTAGAATGTGAAGTGAAATGGGCCTTAGGAAATCTGAGCAACAACAAAGCTAGTGGTGGTGACAGTATTCCAGCTGAGCTATTCAAAATCTTAAACGATGATGCAGTAAAAGTGCTACACTCAATTTGCCAGAAAATTTGTAAAACTCAACAGTGGCCACAGGATTGGAAAAGGTCAGTTTACATTCCAATTCCAAAGAGAGGCAATGCCAAAGAATGTACAAACTATTGCACCATTGCACTCATTTCACATGCTAGTAAAGTTATGCTTAAAATCCTACAAGCTAGACTCCAGCAGTATGTGGACTGAGAACTACCAGAAGTACAGGCAGGATTTTGAAGAGGCAGAGGAACTAGAGATCAAATTGCCAATTTTTGTTTATATGACAAATATTCAATGGTTGATCAATCAAGCTTTATGGACACTGCTTTCTGCTCCGCTATTGGCATTATGATAATATATGAAGTATCTTCAGTATAGAGACTAGTCTAGCTGCGGTTCAGCTCAATCCAGCATTGATATTTGCTGTCTTCCCACTTTGTGCATCCAAGCAGAAGCATCCCTCCCCAAAAATTATTCTTAAAACCAGGAAGGAAAAACCATGTTATTTTTCAGTTTAGTAAAAATGAGGAAATTTAGACCATACTTAAAGCTTAAAGGCATTCCTGTTTAATTAGTTTTTTTGAAAAATAAAAATGTACATTAACACTGATAAAAATCAATGGAAAGACACACAGAGGAGTGCAAACAGAAAACATGATGGGTTAGTTAAAAAAATATGTTGCTTCAGTCAAGTGATATTAATACTGTCTTTTCCTTGGATATGGAATTACTGGAACAGTCACATGCAGGCTGAGAGCAGCCCTTCATTAGGGGGGGAAAAGATTGAGAGGGAGAAGAACTCCAAAAAATGCATTTGAGAATTTTCCTTTTATTGATGTGCCTTTCCTCCTAGTTAAAAGATGGGTTTCAGGATTACTAGCTTTGTCCTGGAACATCTGCTGAGGCATCACCTGTTCCAGATCCTGTTTGTGCACGCTTGATATAAAGATTCAACAATTTCATCTGCAGATTTAAATTAGTAAATAACATGTTTAGTTCTTATAACATACTTAGATAAGTCAGAAAAATATTTTTTAATTTTTAAACTAACAGTGATTGAACAATGAACATTAAAAGAACAATGAAAAAGATTTGTAATGGAATGCTATATACAGAGGAAAGAAGCCTAATTAGAGCTATAGAACATACAATTTATTGGCAATAATTCTCACATTAATATTCTCCTCAAAGTAGTTTTAATTTACTGTATATAATGATCGATATAACTTAATTAGACATGGTAAGGAACAACAGTCCTTTTTTCATCTTCAAATTTTTATTATAAAGATAGATGCTTTCAGTTCTAAATGATTTGTGACTGCTGAACTGGGTGAACTGTAGTTTGTTTGATAATTTCAAAATCTGAAACTGTGTTTTGATCCTGCCATAGTTTAACAACACATAGTTTGCAAGGCATAAATGGAAGAAAAAAGGTTGATTTTAAACTCTAAATGGAAGTTTTTAAATCTTCATATATGGAAACAGAAATGGAAATTTGTTATTTCTTAGATCTAGACTATTGATATATGGGCCTATATCTTATATTCATACCACTGATACATGGTTTAAATGTCAATTATTTGCCCTCAACTTTTTAGTACTGTTAACTAATTATTTTTAAAACAACATCACAATCTTAATTTAAAAATAAAATTTCATTGATTTTACTCTATAATAAAACTTCCTTATGTTTTCCTAAGAGCTTAGGTTCTTTACACTGACTAGCATGACTTTTATAAGTGAAAAAGCTATCATTTGTAATTATAATTCCATGAATGATAACTTTTTTTTTTCTTCAATCAAATGCATGTCTAATCAAATCTATTACAGGTAGTCTTTGACTTACGACTACAATTGAGTCCAAAATTTATGTTGATAAGAAGACAGTTATTGAGTGGGTTTTGTTCCATTTTACGACCTTTCTTGCCTCAGTTAAGTGAATCACTGCAGTTGTTAAGTTAGTAACAATTTGCTTGATAGAAGGTTGCAAAAAGTGATCTTATGACCTGGAGACACTGCAATTCTCATAAAACATGCCAGTTGTCAAGACTCTGAATTTTAATCACATGACCAGAGAGATGCTGCAAGGTCATAAGTGTGAAAAATTATCATAAGTTACTTTTTTCCAGTGCTATTATAACTTCACTAAATGAATGTAAGCTGAAGACTACCTGCAATTGATTTCAAAAGGTTTTTTAAAAAATGTATATAGAAGTGCTTGTTAAAGAACTTTTGTCAAGCTACATAAATAAAACAGTATTACTACATTTAAAAATTGTTTAAATAGCAGTGACCATTAAAAAAATTTGAAACAAAAGATGACATAAAATTCTGTCCAAATGAGATTTTTCTTTATTTAGAATTTAATACATGTTTGGCATATTACTTGATACTATAGGATACAATCCCAGTCTCACTCCACTGGGATTGGCCCGTACCACTCGTGCTGGCAGAGGAGGCATGCTATGCGTCCTGTCAGCCAGATTATTCAGCTGTCGGGGTTCAGGAGGATGGCCTTCTCTACTGTTGCTCCTACCTTGTGGAACATCTCCCCCCCCCATATGAGGTTGGCCACAGCCCTCCTATCTTTTCGTAAGGGTCTAAAGACATAGCTCAGACAATTGGCTTAGGGCCCCAGTCGGGGATCGGCACAATGGAGGTGGTAGATTAAGGAATAACAGACCCCACCTCCTTCTCCACTCCACCCCACCCTCACCATGTATCCTTGATTTAGTGTCTGATTTTAACTTATGTTTTAACTGTATATGTAACTGTAAGCCACCCAGAGTTACCTATGATAAGATGGACAGCCAATAAATGTCAGAAATAAAAAAAATAATAAATTGTACAAGCCTCTCAATAATTGAATATTATAAGCTTTGATAATAAATTTTAATGCTCATAGGGTGCTTTTTGCATTCTATTTAATTAACTATTAACTATTTAATTAAGGTATGCTTCATTTTGCTTTATAGCAGGGGTCCTCAACCTTGGCAATTTTAAGACTTGTGGACTTCAGCTCCCAGAATTCTTCAGCCAGCCCTAGGCTGTCTTGAGGAATTCTGGGAGTTGAAGTCCACAAGTCTTAAAGTTGCCAAGGTTGAGGACCCCTGCTTTATAGAGTAAGTTTCATCTATGATATAATGGCAATTATTGTTTGTAATCAGGAATTAATTACTGAAGAGAAAAAAGGGCATCAAGTATATGAGCACAATGTTCATTCAATAAGACCGAACAGTGGATATATATTTTGATGCTGTCATCTTTATACTTTCTTTATAACATTTTAGCAACTTTTATTTCAAGCATGCTGATTAAATCATTGCCTAGTTTATTATTCTCATTTTTAGTAAGTTGTCTATCATTCCCCTAGCTCCAAATTACTCAAGACAATTGATTTGAATAGTATTTTTCCCCAATTCACACTATTGTTAAAGAACTGGATATATGACCTCTATCTTTGACTAAGAGAAACAGTATGTAACAGACAAATCTTCCAATATAAAGCTATGACATTCTAGGTGCTTTTGTATGCAGGATTACGAATTGAACTAACAGCTTTCCAATTCACAGTCTAAAATAATATGACTGCATGAAGCTACCATGATTTCACTAATGTTTAAAACTATTTATATGTTTTATTCAAGTCCTTATAGTCAGTATATCAACAACCATATTCATTTATATATTATCAATCTATTTATACATTTTATTTTCCAATACACTTCCAGATTCAAATAGTAGCCAAAGAGAGATGCTGAACAAATTTCTGTCCCTAAGACTCCCCTCCACCTTTTTTCTAATCCCCCCAGATTAGAAAAAAATCAAAATCAGGTCCTGGTATGGCATGTCACTTACTTTGCTACCTGTGAGTTGACTAAGATGTGGCTTCAGCTCATCACCAATTACTGCATGAATAGCTACAAGGCAGAAAACACATGCCTTTCGAACGCTGCTTTCAGAGTTATCATAGCCCTAGAAAAGAAGTAATTGAAATGCATATCAATCCAAATAAAATTGATATTCCTAAAACATGTTTAGAAAAAAATATATTTCAGTCAAATATTCTATAAAGTTAGAAGATTACTTGAAAAATTAAATAATCTTTGGAAAAATACTTTTGCAACGTTCTTTCTATTGTTTATGTTTCTGTATCTTCTTACCTGTATTAAACCTGGCACTATCTCTGGCAAAAGCTGAGCAAGAATTTCTTTAGGTACTCTTTCAATAACTTTGGTCTGCATTTTGATTGCAGCCAGATTTATAGGATAATCTGCTGTTTGAATGATGGGACAAAGTACTTTAATGCATTGATCTGGACTAATGGATGTGGCCAACATAGTAGCAGCCTCTTCAGCTGATCTTACCACCTAATGGATTAAAGAAAAATATAGAAATCGAATAATATTACACTTGTATATTTTTTTTGATATGTAGAATATTAAATGTCAATATATTTTGCTTTACAATAGAAATTTCTGTCACAACAGCAGTATATTATCAATATTGATACAACAATATCAATATTTAAACAAAATAGCTTCAGATTTGAAATTTATCTGGATATGTTGGAAAAATGAACTAATATATCTAGGAAATATTCCATAACAACTTTTATTGACATTATAATTATGCTAATTTTAAAATGAAAAAAATCATTCTAGAAAATATGAGATGTATATGTTCAAATTTCTGTTATATCTACATCTTAATCCATTATTTCCAATTAAAATGAATTCATGAGAGGAAATGTAATTAATTGCCACATTTACTGCCTTGTAATATACAAAAATAAAACTAATGAATATATTGACATTATTGTTTAATAATAAAACTGACAGAACAGACAATAATATCCCTAGAAGCATTTAAACTTTGTAGACAATTTTATGCTGTTGGGAAAATGATAAGGATCTTATTTAGCAAGGAGGTCCATGATCAAAGATTATAAGATTTTCATACCTTGTTAAAACAGATGTTTATAAAAATCTGTATTATTTGAATTTTTTTGAATAGGACATATGATTTTCTCATTTAAATTCCTGAAATTTGTCTTATGAAAAAATTATATTCTTTATCTTCCTCACTGAATACCATATTATTACTTCAATCAGTTTAATATTGTTTAATACAAAGTTGTATACAAACCTCCTTATGAGGGTCCTTATGAGCTTCTAAAGTCTTCATTATTGTGAGTTCTGCATAATTTCTAAACCTTGCTGGTTGATGTCTTAAAATTTCTCTTAAGACTTTCAGTGCCAGGGCTCTAATTGAATGCTGAAAGTTTAAGGATTGTTAATTAGTTTTGCTCATATAACTTTCAACTCATTATTGTTGATAATGGAACTATTTAGCATTATATTTTTGAAATTTTATTCCAAATATTGAAGTTTTTTCTTCACAACCACATTTGATAAAGAATCGTACACATTTATTTAATATTTATACATTACACATTATTTTAATAAAATAGTAGCTATGATCTTATTGTAACTGCACGGTGTGATTGTGATATCACTAAGAGACACTTTACTTTAAGGAGACTGAAATACTGAAAACTGTATTCTACTGTCTGTATTAAAGAATATAGTTATAATAAAGCAATATGCCCCTGTTTTTCACCTATTTTTAAAGTTAGTAATCCTGACATAAGTAACATTCAAGAGGGACCCAAAGGTGCTTTTTAAAAAGGCAAACTTTCTTTATTTTTCCTTGAAGACTTTTTGCTTCCCATCCAAGAAGCTTCTTCAGTTTTGGATGAGAAGTGAAAAAGCTTTGAAAAAGCACTTTTGGGACAATCATGACTTGGATGATGAAGAATCTCCATACACATTCAAGAGAGCCATAATGGTATAGTAGTTAAAGAGTTAGACTGGAAAACGGAGATTGAATTTTAGTCCTCCTGTAGTTATGAAAGCCCAATGGATAATTTTGGTGTAATTATTCTCTCTCAAACCAACCCACCTCACACTGTTATTATTGTGGCAAAAAGAGAATATCAGAACATTATGTATGCCACCTTGAGTTGTGTTAAAAATAAAGGCAAGTTATAAATTTAATAATTATCATATCAGTAACTTCATCATCCAGGCAAATAAAACTATTATATAATTTTTCTTTGTCCATTTTGGGCTTTACCTCTTTGTCTCCAAGAGTTTCAAGTAACAAAAGAAGAATTGTTTTGAAATGCTCATCCCAAACACCAAAAGACTCCTCCTGAGTCAATTTCATTAGCTCATAAAGAGCAGCTTTCCGTTCTTCAGCTCTCTCATTATGGTTTGATAACTCCTTTAGCAATTCTGCAACTAGATCAGAATGGTCCAGGGAAGGTTCTGTAGCAAAAGTAAAAGTTAAATTATTTAATTAGTAAAAAGAGTATCATTCTTCTTACTTTACATGTCAAGGTATAGAATATTTATGAAACAATAGATAAACAACATGGGGATGGAACATAACCCTGATATCATATTTCATTTTATTACAAAATATGGCATTTATCATTAAAATCTCCTACTATGAACAAGGATGTTCTCTTCACCACCCATTGGGAGTCAAGACTTTTTGAAAAGAAAAGAAAAGCACAAAGGACTACAGTAAGAGGAACATTTCTCTCTATAGAGTGATCACCCTAAGATCCTTAGCTATGGAAGGCGTTGGAAGCTATGGAAGGATTCGATCTCGCCTCAAATCATTCTTAATTTTTTTGACCCTCTTTACCAGTATAAAATGTTATTACTTTCTCAAAAACTTTTACATAAGCATCTCAGCAGTGGTAGTCACAAATAGAATCTGCAAGTCACAAACAAGCCCAAACTGAAGATATGCCCAAATTACCCCTTGAGGGTAATCACCCCAGTTTAAGAACCAGTGATTTAGATCCTTTCTCATCTTTACCTTAAGAGAAATCTTAAAAGACACAAAAAAATACGCCATGTTTTCTTCCTAGGTTGCCTTTACAAAGTATCAATTGAGTAAATTCCTATTGTATATTGAAAAAAATACTGCATTATGTTTAGAAAAAAGATGAACGTTAGCTCCTAGTAATAAAATCTGTATGACTCCATGTGTAATAAAAAAATGAAAAGCACTAGAAAAAGGTAGTATCAGATCTATTTTGGTGCAAAGGAAGCTAAATGGAAGTATCTATGAGGAATCAAGTGTGACTTGAAAAGGACTACAGGTAGTCCTCGAGTTACGAGTGTAATGGAGCCTGCCCATTCCACTCGTAACTCGAAAACTCGTAGAGTGAATCTTGTACTTCGAACGAGATCACCCCCTTGCTCATTAAGACTTCCTTTCAATAAGTTTCCTTGCGTTTTGAAGCACCCGTGTAAAGGCACAGAAAGGAGTGCTCTGTTTCTCAAGTGCCCTATTCCAGGCATATTGAGCTTGCAGTCTTTGCCAGATCTCCATTGGGATAAAAAAATGTTTCAGCACCTATAGAATGCTTCCAAACGCAGGGACTGGTTGCGTTTGGAAGTGTTCTATAGGTGCTGAAAGACTTTTTATTTCAACAGAGATCTGGCAGAGACTGCAAGCTCTGTATGCCTGGAATGGGGCACTTGAGAAATGGAGCGCCCCTTTTCATGCAGTCACACAGGGTGCTTCAAAACACAGGGAATCCCTGCATTTTGAATAGCCCCACCAGAGCAAAAACACTCCACAATCCACAATGCCAAATCCTAACCCCCCACAACACCCCAGGACATCCACAATGCCAAATCCTAACTCCCACCCCAGGGCAACCACATTCCTTCACTAACCTCATTTCCAGCTCTGTGTGACTTAAAAAAAAAAAAAGATCAATCCGACCTTCCAACTTTTTGTGGAAAAAAAAAAGGTCTCACAAAGTTGGAAAGTCTGATTGAACTTTTTTTTTTTTTACCAGTAGTCCCACAGGCTTTTGTTGCCCTGCATGCAGTGGCGGAGAACAGAGCTGGAAAGGTTAGTGAAGGGAGGCCTTGGAGAAGCGAAGGAGACGGGGAAGGGTCTGCTCTGACCGCTGCTGCCTCACTCTGCCAGTATCAGGGCTCGGAGGCTTATTTTCACCAGACAAGCCATTTCTCAAGCCCCTTCCTGGCAAAAATAGAGCCAAAGCGTACCTTGCTCTTATTGAGAGCAATCTTGCGAAAACATGCCTCTGGAGCAAGCCGGCCTTATTGAGAGCAATCCTGCTCTGCGCCTCCATTTCCTTTCACTCAGACGGAGCAGACAAACCTGAGTCACACGGAGTTTCAAGCAATCACAGAGCGTTCCTTTCCGTTTCTGAAGTGCCCCACTGCAGGCACACAGACCTTCCAATCTCTTTCAGAGATTGTGTTTCGATAAAAAGTGTTTGAGCAGCAGCAGCTTGAGTTTTTCCACTCTGTCCCAAAGGAAGAAACCGGAGATGCAGAGCAGGATTGCTCTCAAGAAGATGCAGGTGTGCTGCATGCACCAGCCTTATTGAAAGCAATCCTGCTCTGCGCCTGTTTCCTTTCACTCGAAGCAGAGAAACTCAAGCCGCTGCCGCTCAGTGAGGAGGATGAGAGGATGAGAAGAGTGGTGAGGATTTGTGCCAGCTGGCCGGCCGAGGACTAGATCAGGCAGGCTGAGTGGCTGGTTGGGGAGGAGGATATGGCCGTTCAGGTGGTTGCCACTTCTGCCAGCTTGGATGCGGGTACAAGGGACCTGGTCCCGTGATGTCTCCCCACTTGAAGGCTTTGTTCCTGCCCTCAAACTAAGGATGGCGCATGCGAGCAAGCAGCACACCCGGGCAACGGATGGAATTGATTCTTTTGTTTTTTAACAAAATTTTATTTATAATACAATTTAAAAAAAACTTTGGATATAATGTGATATTTCAGTATATACATTCTTATCAAATTATTCCACATTGTACACTCAATTCTTCATCTCTAAATATACATCTAAATTTTATATACAATACTTAATCTATTTCTCTATTTGCTAACTTAAAATTACTTATATTTCTATCTTAACGCTAGCCTATAATCCCAACCGTCCTCCTCGAATCCCTCCAACAGTAAAATTTATCCCAGGTTTTGAAATAAACTGATGTACATTTGTCTTTCAATACCATTGTGAGCCTGTCCATTTCCGCACATGATAATATTTTATATAGTGTCTCTTCCTCTGTGGGAATTTCTTTGCTCTTCCATTTTTGCGCGAACGCTAGCCTAGCTGCAGTCAAGATATGTAACAGCAAATAGATTGTTCCTTTATTGTATTTCTCTGTAGTTATTCCCAACAGGAAAAGTTCAGGTTTTAACTCTAAGTCCAACATTAATATATCTTTCAGCCATCTTCGTATCCTGTTCCAATACTCACAAGCCTTTGAGCATTCCCACCACATATGATAATATGATCCTATTGCTGTTTTACATTTCCAGCATAAAGGTGAGATATTTGGACCCATTTTGGCTAACCTTATGGGTGGGAAGTGCCATCTATAAAACATCTTATAGAGATTTTCCTTGTACGAGGTAGCTAGAGTGAGTTTCCTATTTCTTTCCCACAATTCTTGCCAAATATGCAGATCGATACTGAAACCAAAATCCTACTCCAAATTAGCATAGTCTTCTTGACCTGTTCTTCATACATTGCCTGATCTAAAAGAAAGTGATATA